ATTTGTATTGTTCCAAGGTGTAGATGAACTCATAAAGAAATTTTCAATGAGACAGTTGGCAATCAGCTTTGGTAATTGGAGGTCCAAATTGAATACCAAGTTTGTGAAGAAGGACTCGACCCCATGACCAAATTCCATAGTATTACAAAAGCTTAGTGGAAGGTCTTTGTTCAATAGAATACCTCAAAGGAGTTCTTAGATCTAAGTGAAGACAATTCCAAGCCCATGAAGAAGAAAAAATACCCAACCACCAGCTTGCACGGGTGGTTACAACCTCCAGATCCAAAAATGGAGGGCCCAACAAGAGGCAAGGAAGATGACCGAGTTACTAATCCCATTTAATGGCCTAGACAAATGGAGCTCCAATTGGCTAATGCTAGAAACCACATGAACATGATGGTGGTTTAGGATGGCCATATCCCATGATCGAAGAAGCAGTCAAGAATATATTTATGATCGCCGCAAAGAGAGGAATGATCATTCAACAAGCCTAAAAAGGGAGAAGGACATCCTTAGTTCAAGGCTCAACAATCTAGAGCACCGTACCCTAATCGCTTTCAAAGCATCTCCATGAGATTGGGTTGGAGAGAAGCATTCCCTAGTAGGCTTACATGTACAAGAAATGTGTTTGTTACAAGCAATTTACCTGAGAACATGCTATGAATGTTTCAAGGAGGATGACAAGCAAGAAATAAAAACATTTATTTGAGAATTCTTGGCCAATCCAGATCCCAACTTGATTCAATAATTAACTAGCATACTGGCTCAACAACAGAGCACACAATAGTAGCAACTGGAGCATTAGCCTCCACCTTTAGGGGACACTAGTTCCAAGCACCATTGGGTTGTATGTATTTGGAATGGTCATGAAGGCGTCCAGTTGATGACATCATGGGTTGTATGTATTTGGAATTGACTTCAAATGTGGTAGTCCTTGAGATGGATTTGGCCCAAGCCAAAACTGTTTTAATGAGCATGTAAACATTGTGCTACAAAATATATTTTGGGAGAAAGAACGTAACAAATGGGCCTTGAGATTAGTTTGACTCAAGCTGAATGGCCTTTATATGGGCTAACCCTAGTTAAAGAGGCTGAAAAATAGTCCATCTCATGTGGGACAACTTGGCTAGATTCTAATTTATGATGATAAATTGTGTCACAAAATGTTTGCCATGTCATCTGCCACATCAATAATGCTATGTCATTGTCCATGTGGTCGCACCCTATTTAATGTGTTGTGATGTTCTCTATCACGATTTAGAGTGCAAAGATGTTTCCGATGAAAATGTGTTTGTCACTAAATTTGTGATGTTTTTCTATTTGATCACAAAAGGTACTTAAAGACCCACCTTCTCTGATGACAGATTTTTCATCACCGAAGCACCATAAATGGGGTCTTGTGACAAAAGTCTTTGTTAGTGTAGTTTCAAAATGTGTTTGTTCATATTTTTGTTGAAAATATATCACTTCAATACCACTTGCATGCACTACCACAAAATAGAAATTCCTTGGGGGTCCACAATTTCATTGAGTACAAAAATCTAGCCACTAAGGAATAATCATTTCCTTGAGAGTAGTAGTAAACCACCAAGGTAATTTGTATCCTTGGCGGTTCCACTCGGCCTCCGATCCAATTTGCAATTATTCTTGAGTGTTATTGTGAACCTCTAAGAAAAACAACACTCCTTGAGTGCTACTGTAAATGGCTAGAGAAAATAATTATTTAAAAATTAATACTTTTTATGATTATTTGAAATGACCTCGGATGGAGAAATGACGTAAACCAAATTTATAGTACTTGAAGAGATCTAAAACTTTATGGTTCAAAATATTTTTCATTTGAATTCATTTAGGGTCTCAGATATACATTACAAAATTCACTAGAGTGGACACAAAAGAAATACATCAGCAACTTAGTCACAAGTGACTTTGAGATGTAGTGGTAAGGAAGCAATGCACGAAGGCTGAGGTGAGGTTGTGAGTTTGAACCCTAGTGATCATTGGGTTGCTAACATTTTTGAACTTTTTTCATACATTTCCTTAGCGGTTGTAACACATTTCCTTTGGGGGTTTCAGGCCCTCAAGAAATCATATACTCTTATAAAACAAAATCCTACTAGCAATTTTTCTTGATATGCAAGGTGTCCACCTCAGCAGTCCACTATCATTTGCAATTAAAGTTCACTAGCATAAGCAATTATGATATTCACGCCAACGAGACACATCATCAACTAACATACCTTTAGTTATCCACATCAGCATGCCACGCTATCCACTAACATTAGTTCATAATAGTTAATATAATCCTAAGAATTGTATGAATCATTAAATTTTATTTCAAATTAGTAGTTCTCGCAGCAACGCGCAGGGAAGTCTTCCACTTAAATGTTATAGATGAAGCAGAAAATATATTTTTATAATAAATTTATTAAGACCAATCTCTGTCTAAAGTTTCACGGTCTTATTTTCAAGGCTGCCATGTCATAAGAAACGGATTAAAACATGAATAAAACACTAAAGTTTCATTCTATGGTTTCAGACATTTAATTCTGTGACTCATAGAGAGTTGGTAATAGTGTTGGTAATCAAATTAAAAGAGTTGGTAATTCTGTGACTCAAATATAGGTTTACATTCTTTCTAGGACCTAGTAGATGGAGATTATATTTTTTATATATTTTTTGTTCCATCAAGGCTCACCCATTCTTTTATGATGCTCAGGATATGTTGTCAATCACCTTATACAATCCTAAACCACAATGATCAAATCAAAAGAAAAGTCCAGTATTTTTTCTTAACCAATAAGCAAATTCCAAGATAGTACTTGGTACCATAGGAACCTCAATTTTTCTTGACATGTAAGGTATCCACCTCAGTAGTCCACAATCATTTGCAATTAAAGTTCACTAGCATAAGCAATTATGATATCCAGCCAGCGAGACACATCATCAACTAACATATATTTAGTTATCCATATCAGCATGCCACGCTATCCACTAATATTAGTTCATAATACTTAATATCTTCCTAAGAATTGTATGAATCGTTAAATTTCATTCCAAATCAGTAGTTCCCGTAGCAACGCGTGGGATGTTCTTCTACTTAAATGTTATAGATGAAGCATAAAATATATTTTATAATAAATTTATTAAGACCAATCTCTGTGTAAAGTTTTGTGGTCTTATTTTCAAGGCTGTCATGTCATAAGAAATGAAATGAAACATGAATAAAACACTAAAGTTTTATTCTTTGCTTTCAGACATTTAATTCTATGACTTACAGAGAGTTGGTAATCGTGTTGTAATCAAATTAAAAGAGTTGATAATTCTGTGACTCAAATATAGGTTTACATTCTTTCTAGGACCTAGTAGATGCAGATTGTATTATTGTTCTATCGAGGCTCACTCGTTCTTTTACGATGCTCAGGATATGTTGTCACATCGTCTTATACAATCCTAACCCACGGTGATCCAATCGTAACAAAAGTCCAGAATTGTTTCTTAAGCAACAAACAAATTCTAAGATAGTACCACTATAACACAACGTACTTTTGCTGACACTTTCTATTGTAGACAAAGGGCATCTTTGCCAACAGATAACCTCCCGTGAAAAGTTTTGCCGACAGTTTAGAAACAGTCGCGTTAGAAGCCGTCGGTGAAACTTTTGCCGACAGTTAACAGAATCGCCGACACTTTATGTGTAGGCAAACGGTCTACCTACGCCAACAGTTGAAACCTTTGCCGACAGTTAACCCTTTACCGACAGTTAAGACCTACGTCAATAGTTAAGACCTTTGCCGACAGTTTGTATGTTGGCCAAACCATTTTCAAGGTATTTTACAAACCATACCTTGCCCAAAACAAAACTCTTGGCAAAACTGCATAGATATAATTACAATTAAAATAATTTGACAAATCCACTTTTGCTCATATAGAAGGCATCACATTGAACAAATTCACTTGATTTTTGTATAAATAATATATTAGATCTTCCATACAAACACCAACTTGATATATATATATATATACAGGTCAAGTGAGGATCATAGTACATAGAGCCATATAGGTCCAAGATATAGATTAGTCAGTTATAGACATGTATAGACATAGTACAAGTCTTGTATTAATTGGTTATGACTAAAGCTAAGAGATTAATAGATCAGGACTTGGGCACAAAAGTGGCATTCAACGGTCCCATGTCCTTGTCCTACTATCGTAGGTGCAAACAAAAGAACAAAACTGCAATTCATGTTGTCCTGCAGCAATTCTTGGACACTTGTTGCCACTCCAAAATACTTGAACACCAGCTTTGTGCACATATGGTTGCTGCCACTCTACAGAACATGTAACAGCTCTTTGATCGAACTTCAAAAGGTTGCCAATCCAAAATACTTGCAACACCACATAGTACCTAACATGAAAAAAATGTCAAATATCAGTGCAATGTGCTCTGTACATTAACTCTTACTACGTTGATCTATTTCAGTCAATCATAGAACATCATTTTTCATTTATATTGGAGAAGCAAATACACGAGGTCTTGTGGGGCTGTTTGTTTTCTGAAAGAATGCCAAAACTGAAATGCAACATCTATGCATGAGTTCCCTTGATTATTTTGTGTTCAACTATACGATATATAAACAAATGAGGGTCTTCACTCCATCACTTGCTATTTTCAGCATTCCTGGGGAATAACCCAACACCATTTTCTCCTAATATAAAATGCACAGTATGCAAAATTCCAAAATAATCAGAATATTTAGAACCAGAGGAAACTGAGAACCATCTACAAATTGCAAAGCTTCGTCCCAAAAGCTTATCTTCCTCTGAAATGCTGAAATGCACAGTATGCAATTGTTCTTGGAAATCTGCACCCATTTGCCCCTACTGATCAGGCTGCAGGGTACCATGTAAGGACCATGATTCAGTTTCTATCCTAATGGCAAAGTATCCGCAGCATGAATTTCCAAACATCTGAAGTAACTTGTTTTCTGTCATAGGAAATGTTTGACGACCTGGGCAACCTGTTATGCACGATCACTGGTTTTGATTCTTTCTCTTTGCAACCAAATGCTGGTGCTGCAAGAGAGTATGCTGGATTGATGGTTATCCGTGCATACCACAACGAGTATGTCATGATCTATGTGGCCTAGCCTTTTCCTCTCTTGCTTTTATAGTAATCTTTGTTAAATAATTATGCTGATAAAATGCAGTCAAGAGGAGACCACCACCGTGATGTCTGCATCATTCCTGTCTCAGCACACGGCACAAATCCTGCAAGTGCTGCTATGGTTGGAATGAAGATTGTTGCTGTTGGAACTGATTCCAAGGGTAACATAAACATCGAGGAATTGAGGAAAGCTGCAGAAGCAAACAAGGACAACTTGGCTGCTCTGATGGTACTCTTGCTCTTGTTATGCTCTTTTAATATGAAGATTTACATTGGACATTTACTCTTTCATCTCTATTAATATATGCCTGGCGATTCTCTCGCCCGTGGCTTTTTGAAAAAAAAAGCTCACCTTTATGTAGTTCATTTTTATGCTATTTTGAAAGATTATCACTGTGTAGCCTTCTTGCTTTATTTAGTGTTATGGTGTGAGTTAGATGACTTTTGCAATCACATCTGCCTCATAATACTTCATCTAATGGTACTTGTCATACATAACATATACAATAGGAGGAATAGAAAGAGGTACCCACCACTTCGTTTATTGATGTACAGATAATTGGTGGATTAGAGTGAATATTGTTGAACCATGGAAATGTGAAAATTCAATTAGGATTTTTTTAAGGAAAATGAAAAATTCAATTAGGATTGAATTTGTTGTTTTCAAAAGAAATTTTGAAATTCTTTTTGCTGTATGCCGAGAATAACAGAGTATTACAATATTGACTTATTTTCAGGTTACCTACCCTTCAACTCACGGAGTCTATGAAGAAGGCGTTGATGAGATCTGCAGGATCATTCATGAAAATGGCGGACAGGTCTACATGGACGGGGCTAACATGAATGCTCAGGTTACTGTTTCACAGTTTGCTATTCCATCTTCTGTACTTTGTTCATTATGCAAGCAATCTCTTCAAGAAATTATTATTCTAAAAAATTATGGGACACATTTATATTTCTATGTGTAGATGCCATTCCAACAATGCGATGAAGTTGATTCTTCTTATTTTGAAAATAAAATACTTGTGTAGTGAACTTACGAGACAAATCTATTAGAGTTCAGTACTTAGCATTAGCAAGATAAGTAATTCTGTGGTTCTCTTGAAAATATTTAGTGATTAAATTTTGTGTATAATCTATCAAACTGTATGTTCCTAAATCCTTTTTGTTCTATAAGAAAAGTATTTTCTCCTAGTTCACCTGAACCTAGTACAGGACTTCTAGTACGAAAAGAGCCCTTCAACTTCATCAAATACACAGTTTTAGTGTGGAATCTAACTACAAATATGTTCAATTGCAATTGAAAATAGTTTGGTACCTCTCTACTGCCCACATGCTACGATAGTGTACAGGACTAGCAAGTCTTGCTTGAGTAGGCAGATGCACCATAAAATGAACCATGATATCAAAAAAAGATGACAGAAATATAGTGTCAAGGACACTTAGTGTCTTAGCTATTTCAGCCTCTAGTTTTTGCATATCACTGATACGAATAGTGGGTGAGTAGATCTTCTTGAAGAAATTGCTCACACGAATTAGTGCTGCACTTACTCTTTCCGGCAGTATATTCCGAACAGCAATGGGAAGTAAGTGCTGCAACAATATGTGGTTGTCATGGCTCTTTAATCCAATTATCTTCTTCTCCTTAACTTGCACATTACGACGCATATCAGATGCATAATCGTCTGGGAACTTCACATCCTTCAATACTTGGCAAAATGCTTCCCTATCATCAGGACTCATTGTAAATTATGCTGGAGGTAAATAAAAGTTATCTTCTACACTAACAGGATGAAGATCACTTCTAATGCCAAGTTTCTGGATGTCCAAGCGAGCATTTAAGTTATTCTTGGATTTTCCATCGGTGTCCAAAAGTGTGTCAATAATATTCTGACACACGTTCTTTTCTATGTGCGTAACATCAAAATTATGCCGTAGAAGTAGGTCTTTCCAATATGGCAACTTAAACCAAATGGATTTTCTTTTCCAAACAGTTGGTGGCTCATTAACTTTCTTGCGTTTTCGCTTGGATGGCTCCTCTGTAGTTGGATTGCACTGACGCTTGGCTGGCTTCTTGGTTATTGGGTCCTTTCCGAAGGTTGTGCATATATTGGCTGTCAGCTCCAATATTTCCTCTCCACTAAGAGGTCTAGGTGCTGGCCAAAGTTCTGTGGTACCATCAAATGAATCTGCATCAAACCGAAACTTGTGTTCGGCATCTAAGAATCTACGATGGCCCATGTAGACACACTTGCCTCCCTTTTTTAGTTGGAAAGAACATGTATCTAAGTGGCATTCAGGACTTTGCCAGAAGTGACACATGCCACCAAATAACCTAGACCTGGAAAATCAGATATGGTGCAAACTATGGCAGCACGTAGTTAGAAGGGTTCACGCTTAGAAGCATCATATGTTCTTACACCATGAACAAACATTTCTACCATATCATCCACCAGCGGCTCAAGAAAGACATCCATATCACCACAAGGTGCCTTAGGTCCAGGGATCAACAAGGATATGATGAAATTTGATTGCTTCATACACTTCCAAGGTGGAAGGTTGTATGGGATCAAAATAACAGGCCAAATGCTATAAGTTGATTTCATGGTCCTAAAAGGATTAAAGCCATCGCTAGCTACAGCTAGTCTAAGATTTCGACTCTCTGATGAAAATACTGGATGCTTAGAGTCAAAATCTTTCTAGAAAGGAGCATCAGCAGGCTGCCTCAACAAACCATCTTGTGTGCGTCCTTCATCATGCCACCTTGTGTCACTTGCTGTTTTTGAGCACATAAAATACCATTGCAACATTTTCTTTATAGGGAAGTAACGCAGAACTTTCCTAGTAACCCTATGCACACGTTTTCCACTAGGACTACTGTTTTCTGATTTCCATCTTGAAGTATCACATTTTGGACATACATCTTTCTTCACATGCTCCTTCCAAAACAGTATGCAATCATTCTCACATGCATGAATTTTCACGTAACCAAGTCCTACACCTTTTGCCATTTTTAGCAGCATTAAACTTTTTAGGAAGTGATGACTCTTCAGGTAAGACATCCTTAAGTAACTCTAATAGCATGTCGAAGCTTTTGTTACTACATCGCCTAACGAATTTGATATGCAGTAATCTTACAATGAAACATAGCTTCGAGTACTTGCAACCTGGATATAGCTCCTTGCCAGCATCTTCTACCATTTTGTAAAAAGCTTCCATATCCTCATCGTGCTGCTTCGTGTTGTCTACTTCTAAGTCCCCTTGGACATCTAAACCCCCTGCTATGTCTTGAAGTAAACCAGAAATGTCATCCTCTTCATTTGGGTCCCCTACTTCTACCCTTTCATGTTGGCTGCTATTTGTGAAAAAAATTGGAACTAGGTTCACCATGATTCAACCATGTTATATACCCATCTATAAATCCCTCACATATCAAGTGCTCAAGTACAATACTATGGACCCTCCAACAAGAGTTCTTGCATGCCTTGCAGGGACACAAAATCTGATTTCCTTTTACTGAATTACTAAAGGCAAACTCTAAAAACATATCCACTCCTTCTCTATACACAAGGGTTTGCCTACATATGATTATCAAGATATCAGACCAAACACCCTATGCATGCAGATTCTAGTATATGGTCATAGGTTTATTATGTACCTAGGCTGATTCATCCATGTTTTATCCATGACACACCTTTTACAAAATGTAGTGTCAAAATAGTAAAATATTACTCCTAAAATAAAAAATCATTCAATTCAGATTGGGTTGTTCAACAAAAAAATAAAAATCATGCCAAACAATTGTCCAAATTAAATCAATTTCACCACACTTGATGCTAAAAAATTATCTCACCACAAGCCATCAATAAGAACTAGAGCGGAAATTTAGTCCAGTTTTAAAAAACCAAATCATCACATCACAGATCACACACATCCTGCAATTCTAAGCCAAATGCAGAGACAAAGTTCATAAGAAAAGGAAAGCATACCAATCAAGCAATGACAGTAGAAGAACAGATGAAGACTAGAAGGCCAACTTGCTCGTGCTCCCTGTAGATAATATTACCAACGCTAATTAATCACACATGGCAATACAAATAAGTCGAAAACCTGAGCACAAGCAAACTTACTTCCAAGCTACAGTTGGTGACGAGTTGGTGACGACTTGTGTAGAAAGAAAAATCGAAGAGTTGAATCCTTTAGTGCTTTCTTATTGGATATTTTGCAACATGCACAAGAAAGAAACAAATACTCAGATCTGATCTTTTTGCAACGAGGAGACATGTATGCATTTCAATAGTTCCAAGACTAACTTATAATTCCACTTGCAGCTTAAAGTTCAATTGATTCCCTTCTCTCTTTTTATATAGAACAGTCACAACATTTTTTTCGTATAAAGGACCAAACTAGAAAGACTATGAACTCCCGTCAGTGTGAACTTTGCCTTCATATACTAGACTAGAAATAAGTTGCAGATCCAGCATAAGAAAACTTACATGCAAACTGATGGATTCTCTTGTGTACAAGATCTTGAATCCTAAACATCGCATTGAAATTGAGCTGAATATGTTCCTTCTCCAAAGAGGGGAAGAGGGCGGATCTGGACTGAATGAAAGTTTGGCAAGAGAAGTAACACAAACCTTGAATCTTTCTAGTCTTTCTCACCTTTGTCTACTCCTTTCTGCAACCAAGAAAAAAATATAAGAAAGTAAGCTGTGCCGAAACCCTAGCACGCAGGGGAATGGGGATGAGAGGAAGGGGATTAGGAGATGACGCACCTAGATGCGGAGGGGAATGGAGATGCCATGGCAGCACCGCTCTTGCTAGCCGACGGTGGTGGGCTAGGGCGACGGTGGGTTTGGGCGGTGGCAGGCTGAGGCAGTGGGGGCTGGGGCACCGGAGCCCGTTGGATTTGGCGGCGGGGACCTAGGGCGGGAGGTGGCGGGGCTCCGGCCAAGGTCTTTGGCGGCGGTCAGGGTGGGCGTCGGAGCGGTGGCCATGCCGAGTGCTGGCCTCCGGTAGCGGCTTCTGACGGCGCCCGGCGGCGGAGCCCTCCTGGAGGCGGCCGGCAGCGGAATCCTCCTAGCGGCGCCCGACGGCGGAGCTCTGCTGGCGAAGCGCGAGGTCGGGCTCTGCTTGCGGCGCGAGGCGTCGATCTCTGCTGGCTGTGAGCTCGTAAGTTTTCTTTTTTATTTTTTCCGAGTCGCTTGAGTGGGAGAGAGACGAGTGGGCTGTTTTAGTGGGCTCAAAATTTATCAATTTAGCTCCCGCGCACGCCACTGTTTTGGCGCGCGGTCTGCCGCCCAACACTGCATTTCTATTTGCTTTGGCGCATACCCCTTCCACGACACTTGGACAGTGGTTTGGTTAGGCTACGATGCTAGTTTCTTTGTCTAAAAACTTTCGCCGACACTTTTTGGGTGGGAACGACAAACGCCGACACAAAACATGTAGCCGTACACCATTATTGACGATAGTTTATGTGACTCTGAAAAGGTATAGAATTGCCGACACATTATGTGTTGTCAAAAGCCTGGTTTTACCAACACATAACTGTAGGCAAAAGTAGGTCATGGTGTAGTGTACTAGGTACCATAGGAACCTTATTTTTTTTCTTGACATGCAAGCTGTCCACCTCAGCAGTTCACTGTCATTTTCAATTATAGGTCACTAGCACAAGCAATTATGATATCCATGCCAGTGAGACACATTATCAACTAACATATATTCAGCGTGTCACGCTATCCACTACTAACATTAGTTCATAATAGTTAATCTCTTCCTAAGAATTGTATGAATCCTTAAATTTCATTCCAAATCAGTAGTTCCCGCAGTAACGCGCGGGGTGTTCTTCTACTTAAGTGTTATAGGTGAAGCAAAAAATATATATTTATAATAAATTTATTAAGACCAATCTCTGTGTAAAGTTTCACGGTCTTATTTTTAAGGCTGCCATGCCATGAATAAA